GGGGGGATGGAGGGGATGGAGGGGATGGAGGGGATGGAGGGAATGGAGGGGATGGATGGATGGCTAGGTGGGTGGGTGGGTAGGTAGGTAGGTAGGTAGGTAGACAGACAGAGGTAGATAAATGAGTCTGTGGACTATGCGGTATGGCAGGAACTCAGAATGCTGAAGTGACAAGGTGGGAGGTAAGAGTAGAAAAATAAGAAAATCACAGGTCAGGAAGGGCTGAAGGGTTTGGATTATATCTGAGATCACTGGGGCTGCCAAGGGGCTGTAGATAGGGAGAAGATGTATTGGATGTGCATTTAGATCACTACTCTGGCTGCGACGTGTAAAACAAACTGAATGGGTCAAGAGGCAATGAGACCAGTCGAAAGAATATTGAAGATCTCTAGGCAAATGCCACAGAGGCCTGAAGTGGAGGTGACATGCCTTAAGGAATGACCAGGTATGAGGAGGGAGGGAGAAGAGACATTAAAAACATTCAGGATTGTAATCTAGACATTTGTACAGTTGCAGAAGAGATGCTGCCGATTCTTTGAAGCCACGTTTCTAAAGGAAAAGAATCATCCTAACAGACGCGGGGGTAACCAGGTCCTGAAAAGTTAAATGAGCTATTCATTTATTCATTCAACGAATATCTTATGGGTGTCTACATGTGCCAGGCGCTGCCATGCTGGGGAACAGACGCAGTCCCTGTCCTCAAGAATCTCGAGCGTAACAGGGTAGACGGACATTGAAAACACTTAACTGTGTGATATGAGTGATAATGTAAGAAGTGTAGTCTTCAAATGACACACAATTGGAATGTGCGGACTTCTAGGTTTCTTTTCATTTCTGCCATGGCAGTCAGAGCCACTTCTCACTTCTCTGAAGCTTAAATTCTTTATGTAGCACCAACCGACAATCAGGCATTCAGTGACATTTCAAGAAAACACTTTCCCATTGTTCATCTAAAGTGACTATCACACTGGAAACAAGTTCTTTGTCCTGCCATACTCCCAAATCTAATACATGACCTTCACTAAAGATATTCAAAATGGAATTTCACGAACCAAAAACTCACTTCATCCAAAATAATTGGATCAATGACAAAATTCACTTTACATCTAAACTATAACACTTGTCCCACAGACCCACATTTAATTTGTAAACGGCTGGTAAATTCCCTTTCTGCTGGACAAAGTGACGCAGGGAGAGAGACATCAGAACTCAATGACCAGTATCAACTACTTGCTGGGAGTTTTGCTGCTGCGTCTCTTTTGCTGCTGGAGCCTAGAATGAGTTCTCTCCCAGTGAGGAATAAGAAAGGCTTTGGGATCGCTGACAGCTTCCCTCCCAGAAATCTTCCTCCTGCTGCCCTCTGTCCTACTAACAGTACAGCTACCCAGCCATTCCCCGAGCAGAAACTTCAGAATCAGCTGTTTCCCCCGACCTCTGCTCCCCACCTCCAATGAGTCCTGTCAACGATACCACCAGCTGTGTACTGGTCTGGACCCCACTCATCCCCAGGAGCTGCCATAGTGAAGACTCTCTTACTCTTTCATCTGGCCAGTGTGGAGACCCCTCTAACTCATCTCCCTTCTCAGTGTCTCTCCCCATTCTTTCGTGACACGGTTTCCAGAGGCAGTACTCTAAAACACAGGAAACAGTCCCTTCCTGAGGAGAGACAGATGGGACTTTGAGCCCTGTGATGAAAATGTTATTGTAAAACAAATATATCAACAGCACCTAAGCGTAGTATAGCCTTAGTAAATAATTGTAAAATTAAAGTTTAAAAGCTCATATGTAGTTTCTTACTAGATTTGTGCCTACTAAGGAACTAATTAAAATCTCTAAATGATTTGCCTCAAAGAAAATAGGTTGTGTTTGGGTTTTTGGTGACAAATTTAAATGACTTCATTGATTCTTTTGATTGTAAAAGTAATACATGATCACTTAAAAAAACAGAAAAATCTACAGAAGATAATTTAAAATACTCATAGATCCATCCTCCCCAGATGGCTAATACTTAAGAACTTATTTTAATTGTATTATTTAATCTTCACCTCCCCCCCCCGAAAAAAAACCCCTATAAAATAGATGCTATTAATATCTCCCCCTTACAGAAGTTTAAAGAGAGTAAGTGGTTTCTGAAAAATAAGTGGAGCCAAAAATAAATATAAAATGTACCATAAAATGTATCTTTCCAGAATTTTGCTAGGGTGTTTCTGTGTGTATATATCTTTTAAAAATAAGATCAATCCATACATACTATATTATAGCCTGGTCCCCACCCTCAACTGACTAAGTCATGAACAGCTTTTCAAGTCAATTAACATCATCGCTTTTATTAAGAGCATACTCATATAAACCTGTTGATTCTCAACCTCCTGGCATGCCGCCTATGACAGAGCAGTCACATAACTGTTGGTTGAATAAATGCCATAATTTATGTACGCAAACTCCTGGCCAGGAGGGTAGGGGATGCCTATGGATTTGATCAACCAATGTATTACTCCCAGAGGATCCACTGTCCCACGGTGAACCTACCATGTTTCTCAAAGGGAATGTCGTCTTCTACAAAGGGTTCGAAATCTTCCCGCTGCTTTATCATGTAGTCCACTGTCTCTTGTCGGTGCTTGAGATGATTTCGTGAGTGTCCCTCCAATTGGTCACCAAGAGCTCTGAACAGGCAATTGCTGTCAAAACAAAAAAGCTTGTCAAAACCTTTTAAAAATGAACTTAGGTCATCTAAAACAATGATGCTTCATGCTAGGCCATCCATGGAAATCATCTACACAGAGAAAAGATAAAGCCTCAACTCTGACAGTCCACGATTCTTCCCAGATACCGAGGGGAGGGCAGTAGGGGAGATGTCCAACCATGTTACCTTCACAACGGGCAACAAACAAGGAGTCTATTCCCCATTTTCAAGCCGGCCGACTCAGGAAAGTCACTAAACTTCCCTGGAGCTGGTGATACACAAACCGCCTGAACTCAGGGTCCGGATATCACAGGCCACGCCTTGCCTAAGGACTCTGATTCCCGGATGCTCTTCCAAAGGTAAATTACATCTCCCCTCACTTTTTTTCTCAAATTTCACTATAGCTGCCCAGCTAACAAATCAATCACCAAACAAAGAGTACCCAAAATGCAATAATTTGTCAAGCTTCCAATACAAACAGTTGAACTCAGCAACCTATTTTAGTGCTAAGAACCCAGCGGAGAAGCGAAGGCCACGAAAGTGCTCGGATGACAGGCGTCTGCCGTGACAGCCTCCCTCCTCCCCCACTCCTGCCGCTCACCCAGAGAACCACAATGCTGCTGTTGCTCCCGCCAAATGAAAACTTCAAATGCTATTTTTATTTTGTTTTGTTTCTAAAATGCAAATGCTGGTAATAAACTTCATGAGTTATCTTTATTTTCAAACTCCTTGAAGGCTTCTAAAATTCCAAACTATATCACAGAGCCCAGATACACAGAGCCTGGAAGGAAACAAACACAATCTGGTATCCTTAAAACTAAGAAAATTAGGCACTCTGAAGCAAACAGTTGCCTGGTTTCACACCCAACTGTTTACTCTTCCAAATGAAAACCTATGGTCCTCTAATTCCAAAATATAAACTCATCATTCCAGAAAGACTTCAGACCTAAAAGCGTAGGAGGAAGAGGTTTTTTGTTTTTTAACGCAGACAAATGACTTTTCAGTAGAAAGTTATAGAGAGACAAGAATCTCTTCGAATGTACAAGGATGTGGTTTTATACTTTTTTTTTTTTTTTGCAGGGAGCGGGAGGACGGAGAATTTAAAGACAAAAGATTCTGTAAACTAGAAACCAAGAAGTTTTGCATCAATCTAAGGCAAAATTCTAAAGGGATTGGAATACAATTCTGTAACTAAAGTGTCTGTTGCTAAAATCTAACAATGGTGGTCTCTTTTTGACCACAGGGGGGAAATGTACGCTAATGAATAAAAGCATTCTCAATTTTAAGCTTTTCTCTCAAATTTTCTTAAAACTTTAGCATCTGCCACCATTCGTCTATTTCTTAATTTAGTGTAAGAGATGTGAATTAGCTCAATTATGTTTTTAGTTATTTTGCATTTAATATATCAAAATTCATGGTGTTCTACAGAAAGTAAGACTCTTTCTAAGAACTTTTAGTGACATGAGCTCAAATACATTCACCTGCACACGACACACACACACAGAAAAACACACAAATGTATGCAAAGAAAAAACACTGGGTTCACCACTTAAATATCTCCCGTGATGAGGGGCTGTTCTAAACACTTTCCATGCATAAACTGTGCTTAGTCCTCGCAGCTCTGAGATAGGCACTATTCTTGTGCTCCTAGAGTAACTCGTCCAGGGTCACAAAACTTGTCGACTGTGGACCCAGGATTCAAACTCAGGCACTAAATGTTAGCTGTAGTTAATCCTAAATAGTAGAATTAGGAGTAAATGTTAAATTATATACTATTTTAATATACTTTTCTCTATTTAACAAACTTTCCTGAGCTAACTAAAAAGAGTCAAAATGAAAAATTAAGATAGACAAATCACTTCCTTTTCTGAAAGAGCTGCATGTTAATGACACAGGAAATGTGAACAAACACTATAGCCAATCTGAGTTACCTCAGGGAGCCCTGCAAGAGCAGTCATGAAGCTCATGAGAACAAAGCAACTGTGGCCTAAAGGACCTCTAGGAGATCCTGCTGTTCACCGAGTCCACACCCTCACCCATCACACTCAGCAGGGCTCCTCCAATCGCACACTGTTTGCCACTTGGGGACAATTCTTTGCCGTGGGGGCCGTCCTGTGCACTGCAGGATGTTTAGAAGCATCCTTAGCCTCTAGCCACTGGATGCCAGTAGCACCACCACCATCTCCTCCCTTCCCCCTAGTTGTGACAACCAAAAAAGTCTCCAGACATTGCCAAATGTCCCCAAGGGGGCAAAATCTTCCTCACTTGGGAACCACTGTGCCACAGGGAGAGATGTAAAGGTCTTGCTTCTGAGTTCACAAAAACAACCAATTACCAAGTAGCATGTCATGGTTTGGGGGCGCGATTATTTAGTACGAGCCAATATTGTAATATAGACATCAAAAAATTAATGGGCTCCTAGGCTGCAGTACCAGTAGGCAATGTACAAAAACGGGGGGACAGGGGACAGGTTTTATTCTACTCTTTGAAGTCAGACCACAGATAGAGTACTGGGTACCATTCTGGTTACTACATTTTAAGAGACATCTCATTTCAGATGAGATGATGTGGTTTTAAAATGCATAATAGGAAGAATATAAACAACTAGTGACATTTAAGCTAAAGAAGGCTCAGGGGGACATGATAGCTGCCTCCAACTATCTGTCATGGTGAAAGGCATGTTATACTTGTACAGTAACACAAAATTAAAACACAGGAGCTACAGAGACATAGGTTTTGGCAAATAAAAGGAAAATTTATGTTAGCTGGACACAGACTGTATAAACTTGGGATTCTGTAAATTTCTATCTACTGGCAACCCTTAGGAATTGCCCGCATCTGTACTGCTCAATACGGTAGCCACGTGTGACTACTGAGCACCTGAAATGTGGTTAATCAGAATTGAGATGTGCTGTAAGTGTAAAATACTGGATTTTGAAGAGTGTTTTTAAAATGTAAAATTTCTCATTAAAATTTTTATATGTTGAAATATTTTAGATGTAGTGGCTTAAAATATATATCAAAATTAATTTCACCTGTTTTTGTTTTTTTAATGCAGTTACCAGAAAATTTTTAAATTACATACATGGCTGTCATTTTATTTCTATGGGACAGCGCTGGTCCAGACTACTGATTCTCAAAGTGTGGTCCCTGCATCATATGAGAACTTGTTGAAAATGAAAATTCTGGAGCCACCAACGCCTACTAATCAGACATTCTGGGGTTGGGGCCCAGAAATCCAGTCATATCAAATGTTTTAACTAGCCCTCCAGGTGATTACGTTACATGCTAAAGTCTGAGAAACACTAGTCTAGAATCAAGACTCTAATAAATCAGTGGTTCTCAATCACGGCTGCACATAAGACTCACTTATGCAACTTTTAAAAAATTATCAGTAACCTCACCCCACTGCCTCAGATTCTGGTGTAGCTGATCTAGGGGAGAACTCAGGCATTGTACTTTTTCCAGAGTCCCCAGGTGATTCTATTGGGCCATCAAGGTTGAAAACCACTGTGCTAGAAACAAAAGATGGGGCTGCTGTATTGGTGATGCAGGTAACTAACAGGCAAGATTATGTGTGCATACCTGTCGATCACTAAAATCTATGATTATAAAAACAAAAAATAAAACAACTTGTTTGGGACAGAGATGAATGGCTAAAATTAGTGATTCCTTAATGTTTTAATTTTAGACCACTACTAATTAGTAATGTTAATTCAGGGCTACATTTAGTAAGCTACAACTGGATATAGTTCAGAGAGATGCTAATATTATACTGCCTAATCCAATTAATGATTCTTTTCATGCTATAGCCAATGATGTTTTAAGGACAACATCAAGGTTAAAACATTTCTTTCTTGTTTTGAAATTGAATCCAATTTATGTGGGTCCACCCTCCAGACAACACAACAAATATGAAGGTGGCCTATGATGCATTACTAAACTCCATAAATAGCTCCCTGATTAACCTACGCTAAAATGACTCAAATCATGAAAAGGCTACCTTACAGGATACCAGCTAATTTGTCCCAAACACCTGGAGGATCCACAGTGCTTCAAGTTCCATGCCGCCAACAATGAATATGCCTATACAGCAAGATGCTCTCAGGCTACTCAATACTGTAATCAGACCAGAATGGGAAGATGAAGAGTGGACTGTCAACTATTTTTTATATTACTGTAACTTTATTATATTTCATCAAGAGTACTCAATAAATATTAACAAAAGAATATGTTGATACCTGCCAACCCATCACATACACAGGATCCACAACCCACTGCACATTGATGAAGCCTATCACCATAACCAAAAGCACCACAATACTGAGGAGGGCTGAACCACAGTCCATCTCATGGTACCCACGGGAAGACCTTGTTAGCTTCATGGAGTCCACTCAAGAGGAACTATCATTACCACTTTATCTAACACTGTCCAAATTAAAAAGACCTTGGAAATGAGACATGAGCATTTCAGTCAAGCTGGCCTCTGGCCTCCGCAGCCTCATTGCCCCTGACTTCTACTTTGTACCCTACACTCCTGTCATCATAAACAACTCATAGATCTCTTAAAAATAATATGCTCCTCAGCCTGGAACATTCTCTTGGCATATTCCTATTGCTCCTTCACGATCAAGTCTGAGCATGACCTCCTCTGAGAGGCACCTTGCACACTGTAGGTTTCGAGAATTTGCTGAATGAATGAGAAGGCCTCCTTGATCACTTCAGGGAGTTAGCCACTTCCTTCTCAATAGTGCCACTATAATCAGTCACTGTTAAGAACCTATCACACTGTATTTTAATTATTTATATAATCCATTCTCAAAGTGTGACCCAGTTCGGGGGAAGGAGTACCCCTGGGACCCTTTCAGGGTATCTGTGAGTTCAAAACTAAGAGGTTATTTACCTTTTCCACTCTCATTCCCTTCCAAATGTACAGTAGAGTTTTCCAGAGGCTGATATATGAGGTTATCACTCTGATAGATAATGGAATGTGTCTGTGGATTGTTTTAAATTTCTTTTACTTTCTAATATAGTAAATATTATGAGCTATAACCCATATAAACTAAAGCTCTTTGGAGTCCTCAGTAATTTTTAAGAGTGTAAATGGGTCCCAAGACCATAATGTTTGAGACCCACTGTTATATGTCTCTCTCTTACTTAGCTATGAACTCAAGTATCTTAGTCATCAATGTATCCCCAGTTCCTTGCTCAACCAATATTTGCTGAATTAACTAAAGGAAGTACGTTCTCCTCGGGGAGTCGGGGGACAGGTAGCACTCCCAAAGTTTCCCATAGCATTAGGAAAGCTCCCTTAAGATTTTAAAATTCCCTGTGGTGTGATTCCTGCTCATAAGCAACCTCTGTTGAGTATTTCAGTTTCCTGGGAACCTCCTAACATTGAGAATACACCATGCCCAGTATAGCAAACACAAGCAATCCAATCATTTCCAAGGAATAATCCCACCTCAATCCCACTGTATTCAACTGGTACTTTAGTTCATATAGTGGGGTCTTGTGCTTGTGAGTTAATAGTTAATAAACTTTACATTTGACAAAATCAAAATACTAGGTGAAAACAAAACCCAGCAAAGCAAGTCTTTAACTGCAGTGACTCACCTGAGAAAATGACCCTTTGAGCGGACCTGCTGAAGGTCTGGTTGGCCTTCCTCTATGATATTTCTATCATTCATTCATTCATTCATTCAACAAAAATACACTGAATGCCTCTATGTACTCAGTACTATGCTACTCAGTGGTGAAATAAAACATAATCGAACTCTAAATCCAATTTGCCTAAAGCACTGAGCATATGTAGGAAAGTTGGGAAAGGTAAATTAGGGCCAGTTCATAACAGTCCTGATTAATTACTGTTCTCCTTCCCTCTCCCCTACCCTTTTCCCTCTTCCATTCATGCTTCTATTTCCACGCCCCCTTTCCTGAAGCTATTTGTCCTTCCTTCCTTCCATTCTCTCCCTCCAACCCATTTATTTATCCCACGTTCCCTACAAAGCTGAACCGAGATTCCAGTCCAAACCTTAAGGAAGCTTGGGTAAGTACCTTTGCTTACAAAGGAGAAACTGAGGCCCATAGAATTAGAGAAGTTGCCTTCAGCTACCAGGAGGCCCTCACAGACCGAATTGCCCGGGTCGGGGGCAATACCCAACAGTGAAGACTCAAAGGAGGCAAAGGGTTCTACCGGGGGGGCTTATGTCTCGACTGGTCTGACCGTCATTACGACTGACTGCTGTACGCGCGGTCCCGCTCTTCGAATGGCTGGCTCCATCTCATCCTTGCAGGTCTCAGCTTTAATGTCACCTTTCAAAGAGGCCTTCCTGGACACCGATCTAAAGGAGACCTGCTCCAGGATTCTCTCTCTGGACCACTTTACACTTTCCTCGCGGATCTCTGTCACGATTAGGGCAATTTGAGATCACTCGAGCGTCCCGAGGGGAGGGGCCTCGCCGCCTCGCCTGCCGCTGGATCCTCTATCACTACAGAGCGGCTGGTGCTCGGGGCCGCCTGAATGAATGGGTGGACGAGAGCGGTCGACGGTCGCCAAGCCCAGCTCGTCCCCCCGGCGCCGCCTCCCGCGCTCCCGGGCCCGCCTCACCCGTCCCCCGGCACCTCCCGCAGCTTCAGCCCCAGGGCCTGCAGCTGGTTGGCGAAGCTCACAAACTCCTCTTCGCAGCCGCCGCCGCCGCCAGGCTCCGGCCGGTTCCGCCGCTCCTTGGCCAGGGCCCGGCGCGCCGCCCGCTCGTCCCGCTTGCGCTCGGCCTCGGCTTTCCGGCTGCCGCTGCCAGGCCGGCTCTTCACCGCCTGCTTTCGGGACATAGCCTTGGCCCCACGGCCCGCAGCGGCACAAGGAAAAGCCGCAGGATCGCAGACTCTGGTGCAGGGAAGGAGAAGCGGAACAGGGACGAAGCCCAGCGACGGCGACGCCGCCACCGCGCCGGCACCGACGCTGGGCACCCAGGTCACGTAACGAAACCCCGCCCCCTCCGCACGGCTTGATGGTCAGGCGCCATAGAGAGATCGCTGGGGGGCGGCTAGAGTGGCACCCGTCTTCATTTGCTCCACTCTTCCTCCTAGCGGTGGGTAGTAGGTACTCCAGGTGAGGAGCCCATGGCATCA